TTCGAAACTTCTTTTTCTACAGTAGTTTGGTTTTCGGGGCAATTTACCAGCTACTAAACATTTAGTTCGCATAGCAGATTTTCACGTGTACAGATGCATAACAAATAGCACAGCCCTCATTTTGCTAGAGACTGCGTTTGTATAGTAAGAAGAGCTTATATACAAGCTTACCAAGTTTCACTTCGCCCCCGCAGTCATGGTTGTTTATCTTTAATTCCGCTAAATTTTTCTTTCATTTCGAATAGAAGTTTTATGATTCACAAGAAAATAGTATGGTCTTAGCCACATCATCGATATCAGAGATCATACTCTGCTCAGGACAGGTGTTCGAAATGAGAATTAATATTAATACATAGAAATCACAGCAAGGGAATCACAGCGTAAAAAATCTGATTATTTTAAGAATTAGTTACGAAAGTTTAAAAAAAGCAGACGTTCTTGGAGTAATTATTTACAAAAAAAATCAAGACGACTTGATTTTTTTTGTACTTTAACTTGTACCGAACGAATGATCTATAGCATTAATATAATTAATGAAAAATCTACATAGTATGCATTTTAACTACACTCGTTTAAAACAATAGGTGTCATATTGCACAATCAACCCAGATAAAGTTAAATCTTAGTTTAAATATTCTTTTGTATAATTACTCAATGATGTAGTGAATTATCAACGGCATCTCTTGGAAACGAAACCCGTTTTATCATTTTAGCACTTGCAAGATTAAGCTTCATATGTTGCTTCTACTTCCCAATACATAAATAAATAGTGCATGCAGTAATCAAGGCCAGAGGAAGGCAATAATATAATTTTAATTACTACTTCTCAAACAAAAAGAAAAGCATAAGGAAATTCTCAATATTGAAAGAACTGGTGCCAAGAAAATTTTCTTCTCAACAGCTATCTGAATGAACAAAAAGACATAAACAGAGAAAAAGAAAGAGAGAGAGAGAAGAAGGGAAAAGGTATAACAAAATCTTCGAGCGTCGTCATTACTTATAGACAAGGAAAAGAAACTGAAAAATCGATGCACATATGATGAGAAGAAAATGTAGCTCGATATATATATATAAATTAAAAAGAAAAATGTCCGCTCAAATAAACAAAATAAAAAATTATATGCGAAAACATTCTGCAAATATATTGGTGTTTGATGAAAGACTCGTAAAAAGAATGGTGATTTATGAAAGAAAAAGACAGTCATAAAAAGTAAGAAAAATATTTTGAAAGAAGAGGCACAAGAAGAAAAGAAAAACTTAGAATTTGCTATCGTTAGGGGAACTGCGCGGAAAAGAAGCGCAGCTAAATGAATGTTAGTCTTAAATCACTTGGATGAAATGTGATCCACCATAAAATTGGATCTCAGCATCACTGATATGAAACAAGTACGTTCAACAATGGATTCATAAATTCTTTCGCTTTAAATTGGTAGTATAATTACAAGAAATTCAAAAGTATATATATAATTTTAGTATGTTTACGTGAAGTATATGTTTGAGAAGTTGGACGTTAGCACTAAATTTCTACACTCGTGCTAAAAAAATAAGCAACAAACTCTAAAAGGGAAAGTAAGAATGTAAAACGGGGAATTAAAATATACAGTTTACATATGAGGAAGAGGTTGCATCGTCGATTACAAACAGGCAACCAAAATTAGCATAAAATGCATATCTGCAGTCACACCACAAAGCCTTAAAAAGGGGCATGCCGAAACTATGCGTCAGTTCGCAAGCGGCGATATTTCCATATAATCCGAGATAGCCAAAGCGGAAAGCAGAAATTGAAGACACCATTTTCACGATGAAAAGCGTTGGAAGGCTGTCGGGATGTTGCAAGCTGGTGCAAGGCAATCCGCTGTTGTGAGAGAGTTGAATGTGCATCGTAGTGCCATTAGAATGGATTTTTTTTTACCAAAGCGATCAAAACCCCTGTAGAAGACGTGGATCTAGACAAATAAAACATTTTTAAGATCATGCAAATTCGTTGATGTTTTGCTCGATGTTTAAACCGTCAGATATTTTAATCTCTTACCGTTGCCAACTATGGCTAAATTAATTAAATTCTAGCAAGTCAATAGCTGTAAAAGACCTTACATTTTTCATTAAAAAGGGAAGGACTTCTTCATCGATTTTTCTCTTAGTGCCCCCGATGGTAATCACCACACTTGTAATGCTTTTTTATGTCACAGACATCTATTCATTTAGTCTTATTTATTTTAATACTCCTCTCATTTTTCTCTTATATTGATACAAAAGTGGAGCCATGCTCTTTCGGCTCCGAAATTCAGTCTAACAATATGAACTATGAAATACAAATACCGTATTTATTCAAACAAGACCCCCCTCATATTTCAGGATAAATTTTAAGAAATAAAAGCGTGGGTAAGCATTTGATGAGTGCATGATTTTGATTAAAATGAAAGGCAATCTCCCTGATTAAACAGGATATCTTACTAAAGTATAGAAAGAAAAAATTATTGATGCATTATTATCCTTTAAATTCAGGAAAACCAGTAACCAGGACAGTGGATGTAGGCCTGAATTGAAATTTCTTATCTAGACGTGACTTTTATAATTATCGGCAGTTACATAGTTTATAACATAATTTGTTTATAAAGTTGGACCTTTAAAAATCAAAGTGATGGTTCAGTGATCGTTTCTAATACCGATTTCTGAGAACATAAAAGTGAAGTGGTAAACCACGTGTACAAGTAATAATGATCCGTTACTACTTTAGCAGAGAAATATAATAAAATGAAATTAATAGATATAGAAAATTAAATAGAAAGCAATGTTATACAAGAAGGTAACCGGCATTACGAATTCTACAATTATCTTTTAATGCTCGAAGAGTATGATGATATATTGTCGACTGATCAGAGACATCTCCGCCATTTCCAACAGTCTGCTATATGAGCCATAGAAAGCATGAGCTTTAAATGAAAGCATAATACATGGTTTTAGGCTGAGCAGTTACAGTGCACAATTGGAACAAACTATGATGATGATAATCATTTTGTGAAAATTCTGGAAGGGAAATAAATATACGTGCATAAAGTGTCACATAAAACCGAAACGTTTGCATTTAATAATTGGGTTTAAAATTTTGCTTTAATAATGGAAATATAAATTTTCGCATTGAAACGTGATAGCGGCATAAAGCTATGGGCTAGAAAGTAAAAACTGTTCCTATAATAGTACACCCCCCCCCAAACAAAAAAAGATACAGCACGCATACAGATGCGTAAATATTTTCACATTCATGCGTTAAGCTATATTAAACATGTAATAATCATTACTTTATTATTCGAAGCTACTTGAACTGTGTACATAGATTCAAAAACGTTTCATTTGTACAAAACGTGCTGTAGCAGTAACTGAAATACACACCATGTCCATAAAAGTCCTTACATGGCTATTATTTTCACAACCATTGGTTATAGACGTATAATTCCAGTGACAAAAGTGTTTCAAATATCGCATATATTCATGTTTGAGATTTATACATTAAAAAAAAATACGAAATCTAACTTATACGGTTCTCCTGTCCACATAGTTATACTAAGTAAAAGTATAAGGTATTTCTCCCGCCTTCCTAGCATGCCTTCGTGGTGTAGTGGTTCTGCACGCTGGGCCGGTATTCCCAGCGAAGGTGATTGCTCATTTTCATCTGCTGCTTCAAAAAATACCTAATCCTACAGGGCGCGTGAACTAAAAAAAGGGTTGTGGATGAGATTTCTCGCACCCGGATTGGCGACTAGGTCCCTAAAACCCTAGTCGTCTCCCACTTTTCTAGCGTGCCTTCGTAGTGTAGTGGTCAGCACACTGAGCCGGTATTTCAGAGGTCCGTGGTTCGATTCCCGGCGAAGGCGGTTGCTATTTTTCATCTTTCCTGCTTCCAAAAATATACCTAATGTCTCTACAAAAGTTTATATTCATTATAAAAAGAAACACAAAACGTTTGAGTACAAAATGTTAAACAAAATGTTTCATTTAAAAATTTGGGATTTTTGCTCTCTTTTTCGGGTTTTCTTGGGGGTCGGTTAAAAATTAAATTAAAATAATTCAAGGTTGATTTTTTCCCCTTCCTTTAGTGCTAACCGCAGTGACATTACTTTGTGATTTATGAGTGTGCAACATTCTTTAATTTTATAACTTTGTTATATTTAACATGCGATAGCCTTTTCACATAACTGATTTACAAGCTTATGCTAAAAATACATTACTAATATTTATAAGCAGTATTATTACTTTACAGTTATAATCTAATAAAGTCAATAAAAATCAATGTATTAGAAATATTCTTCGTTTTTAATTTATGCTACTAATAGTTATGAAATGGTTATTTGCCAACACTGAAAGCTTTTTTTCCCTTTCTCTAGGACACAAGTTTAACAAAACTCTTTGAACAAAGTCTCCCCACCCTTTTGAACATATATATATACGAATTAGGTTCTGTTAGGCGCGCAGATAATATCGGGATATTTCTGTTTAAAAAAATGTCAGATTTATATATATTTGTATTAAATGTATTAATCATTGTTTCAAGACAGATATTTCATCTTTAGATGCGGAAAAATTTAATCAGTTCTTTCTACCATTTGTGTAAATCCCTGAACACGATGTCAAGCTTTAAAATTAAATATCTCGGGCAATTATCTTGTAAGGGAATCAAAACTCAAATAATCTTTTTTTTTTTTTTTTTTTTTTTCCAGAACGAGTACAGATTTTTCTGTATACAACTATAGACACCAGGAGACCGTATAAAAAGTTACATTTCGTAATTTAAAAATCAAATAGCATTAATATTTTTCTTATTTATTTTTCAATTACAAGTACTACAGCCAAAAACTGCGAACATAAATGCCGCATAAGGATTTTTATGGACACGGTGTATAGTCTGGCATAGTTTGCTCATTTCAGCAATCTGTTAATATTCGAAGTATTTTTATGAATGAAGAGGTTTCACTTTTCCTCTTCTTTCACCGTTTAAAAATTATCATGTGCTTATTCATCAGAAATCTTTCTTTAAATTTTTAATAAAGCATTTTCACAGAAATAAGAGTGAAACTTTTCTCTTTGTTCTGTAAATGATGTCTTTCGTTACATTTATCATTTAATGTTTGCAGACTCGCAGTCTAAAATAAAAAGCTTACTGCTCGTATAGCCAAATTCATCTTCTTCTTCAAGGTCTCCAGCCTTTTCTGTAGGTGTCAGTTTTATATTTCCGGCACTTGCAGAGTCGATCTACAATAAAAGATATTCCACAATTAATTTAAGCATCCCAAATATTATCGCTGTGAAAATATTAAATGATCTGGGATCAATCTTACTCTAACTTTTGAAATGCGAATTGGTGAAAATTTTTATTTAAAACAATACTCAGTTGACAACTACCCCTTTTAAAAAACATGACTGGTATATTAAAACTGTGTGAATATAGTTTTATCACAGTAAGCATAGAGCTGCTTACTGTGTAGAATGATGGGGTCCCCTTCGATTGGCGACAAATTTTGTTCAGTTTTGCTGATGAAACCCTATTTCTAGTTACCATGATTGTTTTAATTTGGTTTTAGCTTCCTCATTTTTTTAAAGTGAAAATAGATCTATGTGTACATGGACAAAGTCAAGGCAGTGTGCAATGCAGAGTTTGCGCAATTCTGTGATTTTTTTAAGTGAAAATAGATCGATGTGTGCAGGGACACCGAGTTTGTGCAATTCTTTGAGCCATCTTGAAATTGTGCCTTCCGGGCGCCGATCTTGGCGTCAAAAAAAGCAAGAGACACTCAATAGCAAACGTTTACCCAGTAATCCTGCCCTATCCAAAAGATAATGTAATTTTGCTGTCAAAAAACTCATTTATTAAATTTGCGAAGTTTAGAGAAACTAAAATAATGGCAAATTTTTAGTTCACTTCATCGTTCTAAGCATTTTTTGTACATTTTTTAAGTTCATTTTATTAATCTCGTTATTTAAGTGTTTTCTATATTTCCATAGTTTTAAATTTCGTTTCTGTTTCAATTTTTCCGTCGACCTTCACATGAATGCAACTTATGTTAAGGTGAAATAGCGAGTGAACGTAATATTTAGCATTAAGTTAGCTCTTCATTCTTAGTACTGTAATTACGTGCCGCTACCATCCAATAGACACGGTTGTGTTACTTTTGCTTTCTGTTAAACACTACGGTTAGCAGGTGGAAATTAGTTTAAACGAGGCTTACAAAGGCGAAGTCTAAACTATGGGCCATTTGATTTCACTTCTATGAAACTCCGAAAGCAGCGATTAACAGCTTTTGTTAAACTTGAGTTTTAAGTTGTACCAGACTACAGTTTGTAGCAAATAAAATTTTACATGAATTTTTATTCTTTTGTGTATTTAGTTGTAATTTACTAGTTCTTAACTAAACTTGTTGAAGTTTAGTTAAACAGTAATAAGTTGCGAAGATGATAGTTCGTCGGAGCAAGATAAAGTAAAAAGAATTCAAGACGAATACTCAGTCTGAGACATAGATTTTATACATTGTTAATTAGACGGGCATCGTAGCTTTCAGGTGGTTTCTCATATCCTAATGCATTGTATTTACAAAGATTTGATCCCAGAATTTGTAGAATGCAGAATGTTCAGTGTTTAAAAATTAATGTTTAATATTCATTTATGTGAACGTAAAAGTTTATGGAATATGCTGAAAACTATTTTGATTGCATCCATCATCAACCATAAATTAAGAAAGCGTTTTGTAGGGACGGTAGCTATTAACAAAAAGCAGACCATCGGAACGATATTCAACCTTTGTTCCCAAGCAAGAGCGACCGAAATTAATGCTCGCAGTTTATGTAGGGATTTTTCTACTCCAAATAGACAACATTATGAGCCCTGTAAGTCAATTTAGGTTTATATTCAAGTTTTTTTCTTCAGAAAGACTTGAGTTTGAATCTTAATCCACTGTAAATATTCACTTTCTTTCGGTCTGTTTTTTACATGATTCCCTCCCCCTCGATATGAAGGAACTCAAAGAGATAATATCTGAGTTTTTAAAGAGCGAAGGATTTAGATCATGTGTCAGATCTACTAATCATTCGTTTGGAAAAACAATTGCTTAAAAAATCTTTGGCAAAATCTTTAGCACGTGTATTAGCACATAATTTTAAAATATGCTACCAAAATAAATTAACAGTGGCACATATCATCACTTTTCTTCCTGTATGAAATACTGTACGAGAACCTAAACCATATGAACATATTTATCCACAAGGAACAAACAAGAAAATTATGTTGAACGCAGATATTAGTATTAGGAAGAATACGTGTAATATAACAAAAGAATTTATTTCTAAAAAAAACTGAGAAATCTTAGCGTACATGTTACCAATGATTTTATTGAATTATAGAAGTTGTCAAAATTAGAAGCATGAAATCGCGGTACAGTTTCGAAAGATATTAATAACATAGCAAATAATTATAATGATTAAAAACTAATTACAAATTAATTCAGCAAAGCACTACAGAATTTTATATTTATACGGATGAGTTCGTACAATACTTTCAGTGGAAAATATGTTCGTATAGTGTTGCCAGAAAATTTTGAACTAAAGTAGCAAAAGACAACTCAAAAAGTCGCAAATGATGTCAGAGATCACGTGAATTTGTGACGTCACAATTACGCAGGCTCACATGACCTCCTGACATCATCACAAACTTACCGTCTATTGGTTCTGTAAGTTACAGACTGCATTCAATTCTTAGTCTTTTTAATTACATAGCTTTAAAGAAAATTTTTAAATTATATTGCTTATTTTCAATTATTTAAATTCGTAATCATTAATTTAGGTTTCAATTTTTAAATTAATTTGCAGATATCCATTCTTAAAAGATTCCTCACGTTTAGACTGTTAGCTCTTTCGTATTAAATTTTTTGAGTTGGTAGTTAAGTTTTTTAATTCATGATTTTTTTGTTTAATTGTGAACATTTTAATTGAGGAATGCTTTTCAATGAGTTTTGCGTTCTGTGTGCTGGATCTGTTTCAGATTCTGATTACTTAAGAAAGCCTTGTTCTTTCACTGTTAAATCTATTTTTTTTTTTTTTTTTTTTTTTTTTTTTTTTTTTGGTTATTTAGAAAAATACCGCTGCTTTGATTTTCAAGTCATTTCCATTGCTTAGTTCTTAGCAATATTATAATCAAGAGTATGAATTTAATTTATTTCTTTGTTTGGGTACCCAATATATGGCGCGCAAGCCACAACTTCTTTGGTTCGATTCATTATCACCATAGAACTCAGGAGAAAGGAACTGACTTAAAAGCAAAATGCACGGGGAACGAGGGAGGCTGGTTAGATGTCCCGAAGTATTTTTTTCCTTTTTGCTCTTTTCACTTCCCTTACCCCTTTCTCGTTATAGCATCAGGATGTACAGACTTGAAAAGGAAAGCCCACATCTAATAAGACTGCCAGCTGTCATCTTCTAGTTAAGCCTAAATAAACTATTTTTATTATAAATCAGATTTAATTGATAAATTATTTTAAAAAGAAAGCATTTTACGATATATAATTTTTTTTTAAGTCGCAAAAAATAGCATAGAAAATGATGGATGTCGCAAAAACTTCGCAAAATCGCGAATACTAAAATTTTACTAGCATAAATTTGTCAAAAGTCGCAAATTTTCGCAAAATCGCACGATCTGGCAACACTGTGTTCGTATTTCCTTCAGACACAGTGTAAAACAGGTGACGGAAGACAGGGATATCTGGTGTCATAGTAAAACAGGTAATTTATCCCGCGTCTTCCACTATGTAAAGATACCGACACCTCCGTAAAGTCCTCTAAGACGCTCTGTCGGTAGTTTATTCTTATATTTAATTTGATATACATGCAAAAATTAGCAGAAAATCTGTCCATATACAATAGTTTTCGTGTTTACATAAATATATCCAATAGTATTTATATGGCGACGGATGGAAAAAAGAAAACACCATTCAACAAGTCTGAGAGCCAAATTCTAAACGGAACTACACATGTCCTGCAGCTGTGGTGCTCATGTTTTAGAGGGCCAGTGATTCACAATAGTAATATTTATAGACAAGGATTAAAAAAAATTACATGATTATTAGGATTTAGTATAGAAGTGTACGTACGCTAAGTGGATGCTATAGAAATGGTCACCATCTTTTCGGCTCTAGAAAATTTTGCACAGCAACAGGTACGAATAATTGCATGTTTATTCTGCTACCAATCAGTATTCCAACTGAAGATGAAAGCGGCGAGAAAAACTTTTTTAATATTAAAAAGTCAAAAATTTTAACAACGACGAGGGTCATATGGTAATTTACCTTTTTAATAATTTTCAAATTGAAATATTATCGCGAATGATGGTTAGAATTCTAAAGATCTCCATTAATAGTAATAAATTTAATCGCTACTGAAAACGACATGCAAAATTATTCTTGTAGAAATATATGCTAACAGAAAAGATCACACAAAACAAAATCATTAAATTTATGATTTAAAGACAGAAAGATGTATGTAACTTTTGAGAATGAAGGTGACTATTTATTTTATCCTACAGAGAAACTCGTGTTTTTGCTAAAGATAAAAGTTCACTTAATCTCTTTGGGGAAGTTTACTTTTAGACTATAATGATAAGAGAAGGGGAGAAAAGCCATAAATATTAACAAAATAGAATGATAACAGAGAATTTGAAAAAAGGTAGCTATAGAAATATTCCAGAAATCTATTACAGTTTTATATGCGGAAAGTGAGGTTATTACTAATAAAATACAGAAAAATGGCCTCTGTTTGGCTGTAGAAGAAATTTAGTTTCAAACAAAATACACAATGCTTGATTTTCTTTACAAGAAATCTATTCAAATGCTGAAGATTTACATAATGATTAAAACTGATTGTGCTTTGAAAGTTTTTTCTGCAGTTTATTCAGAAAATCCTATTTCGATCACATATTTTTAGACTAAAAGTAGCTGAAGTTGCATTGAGCAAGATTTAAAATCTTTAAACACTCCTTCGGTGGAAGAAATAAAAAATTTCCGCCTTAAAATCAACATATGTACATACATGCGTAATAAAATATTTTAAAATCTTAAAATTCTCAAAGAACGTTAGTTCCTATGTTAATGACTAGCATGCAGAATAAAGTATTGCGTGAACTTCTAGAGTTCTAATTTTTCTCAACTATAAAATAATGACATTTAAAAATAATCCATCTCATATAAATGTCAAGGTGTCGTTATTACTTT